CATTGATGGGTCTAGTCATGATTAATATGGCAAAGGCCGCTTTGATTCTATACGGATATAGTTGATGGATGAGATTATTAGAAAATATCCTATTGTATGATAACAAATTTTGAGCTCATAAGGTTATATATTTATCAGGAAACATATGTTGTCAAAGCGAGAGATTGTTGAATTAAAATCTATAATTATAGACACGTATTTTCAATATATATTGTTATCATAAAATATGATATAAATTAAGTGATCAATTAAGTTATTAAGTCATAAGGTATTAGAAGTATCACGGAAATAAAAGTGTAGATACTAGTAAAGTTATATTTATAATTTGATGAGGGATATAATTATAAGAACAAACGATAATTGATTCTTAAATCAGCTATATAAAGGGGTTATGCTCCCCAATAAATATATCATCTCGTATTTTCTCTTGTCCCCGTCAAAGAGTTTACGCTCAAGAGAACTCTATCTTCTTGAAAGATCACAACCGAAAAAAGATTCAAGGATTTCAACATATCGTTAATCCAAATACACTTTTACATCTAGTATTTTATTATTGATGATTTGACATAATATATCTTGATTTGATTTTATATTTATTATGATTTAGTTCTAACAAGTTTCACTATATTATTTCGGGTGTACATAATTTGAAAGACTTTGTTAATCTTGAGGAACAACATCTTCTTTAGCGATTGTACTAATTCGAGCAAAATTATTTTTAAGAAAATAAATTACATTTATTTTGTTTTATTTTTTTATTTAATATAATTTACTATTTGCTAGTCACTGCTAATATGTTATTTAACAACATTCTTTTACTAAAAACAATTTCATGATAATTTAATACAATAAGTCGAACGTAATAACGGTGTTAGAAACATGAAGTTTATCACACATCATTTAAACGATTGATTGATGCTTTAATTCAAACTTCTCAATTATATATTCGAAATTAAGAAATTTTTGTTTAACCATAAATCAGCTAAATTTTAAAAGAAAATTTTCAGGAGTTAATATCTTCCCTCAACAATGGTTAAAAAATATTTAAAATTTTAAGGTGAAGTGCATGTACATCTAAGTTCAAAAAAAAATTATATTTAAGATTAACATTTGATTGAGTATTTATTATACTCTTTAATGAACCAAATTTCCAATTTCACATGTAACATTATTTTCTTGAAAGAATATAGTTAAATTTTTTTTGGCAAAATAATGTCTTGATAAATAAAAAAGAAATTAACTAAATAACCCATCTGTCTAACTTTATCAGCCATATTTGCTAAAGTATGCATATTTTATTTTGTATGAAGCATAGGGAATAAGTTTATTGTTTAAATATGGGAAAATATTCCCTTGCACTATTTTAATTTAGCTAAAATAAGTAAATAAATGCTTGCTTGGGCTGTTTTGTACATTGGCCCCTAAGGTAATTTTTTTAAAATATATAAGTAAAAAAATATTAAATTTTATTATAAAATTATCCCAACCCTATGTGAAGCTTGATAGAAAAACACTTCCGCAGTTTTATATAAATATCTTAATTGTATATGTTTCCTTTTCATTTATATAAAAATAGAGAAAACGAATAATAAATTATATAATAATTCAAATTAGTTTCAAATAATGAATTATTTTAAATTTTTAAATTTCCTTTAAATTATATATGTTTATATATATATATATGATGCAAGCCTTGGTGTAGGAATGATAATAACACATGAATTATATTTTTGTTAATGAAAGATTAGTACGTTACTTTATTATTATTTTTAATTCAAATATGTGAACTTTTAATGTTCTATGAAAGTGGTCCCAAAACCAAATTTAACCAATTTTTTTCTAAGGTTTTTTAATTTTAAAGATTAGTACGATACCATATGCTCCGTTCCCTAAAAAGAACTAATTTATAATCTTTCTCGTACAAGCCCTTATCCTCCTTAAGGAGGGGACCATTTCTTATAAACCTTTGATTATCTTAAAATTTTAAATTTTTGTTTAAATAATTGAATTATTCACCATAAGGGTTAAAAGGACAGGTTAAATTGTATTTTAAAATTTTATAGATATTTTTAAAATGATACATGTGATAATATTACGATAATTGTGTTTCTCGAAAGTATAGGATTAATTTAAATTTTAGATCTCATCCCACTCTAATAGTCATATTATAATAATTGTGTTTCTCGAAAGTATATGGTTAGCTTAAACTTTAGATCTCATCCCACTCTACTAGTAGAAAGATGGTCCTTTCATCATCAATGTTGCTTAAAAAAATGACAATTCACAACCTATAAAGCTTAAACCATTGAATGAAATTTCATAGGAGACTTGGATTAATGTGATAAATATAACCCCCAAGATATTTTAAGGTCCTTGAAAAGAGAAAGAAATGCTTACCAATTCCGTCATTCCCATCCCCTTTCACATGATTTTTTTTTTGCAATCTCAAGGGATTATTTCTCTTATAAATTTAAGATAATGAAAAATTGTAAGGCGAAATATATTAGTTAGAAGTGTTCAAAAATATTTGATTTGAACTATTTGACCCGTTGACCAATCGATCTTGTGTAAAATTATCGGACATATTAGAGGTAAATACTCGATTTTGTGGGTCGGATACTCGACCCATTATTTTTTGTAGGTTTCTGATGAGTTGGGTCTGGGTCACAAAATTACTCTTAACCAGATACCCGTCGACCCGATTTTCTTTTTTATTTTATTACAATTTTTATTTTACATTAGATTTTTCATTTCTAATTTCAAAATTATTTTACTCTAACGTTTTAAATATATATATTCTTTTCAAATTATTTCACCTTAACATTTAAATTAAAATTATTTATTTAAATCCCTAATTATTTTAAATTTAGTTAAAATTTTATTATTTTGTTTTGTTTTTATATTTTAAAATTTTATTTAGATTATACATTTTTTTATAATTTTATTTTATTTTTATAATTTAAAATTTTAGTTTTAGATTCTATAATTTGAATATTTATAAATTTTATATTTATCTTGTGTGTTATAAACTTTTAAATTTTAAATTTTATGTTTTTCTATATGGATTTAAAAAATAAAAAATAAATAAATAAATATTAACAAGATATTTGTGACCATAAAATACGGATACCCACTTCTTACGGCTCGAGTCATGGATCATACTTTTATGATCCGAAAGTTCCCGGTACCCAGCCTTTTGAGTACTCAAAAATACAGGTGTCTGGATTTGAACACCCCTAATAAAATTATATGTGTGGTGACAAAATTAATGGGTTATTATGATTGATTTTCTTGTCCTCTAGGTAGGAATTATTAAAAAAAATGGTAAACTAGAAAAAAAAAAGTTTTCATGGCAGTGAGAGGAACTAAAAAAAAATCAATCAAATAAAATTGAATATAAATTGAAACAATGATCAAAATTTTCAAATAAAAATAGTTTAGGGATTTGGTTTCACAGAAATAAAATATAAGAATTAAATATGATTTCTTGTTATATATTAATTAGTATTTAATTTGGAATACAACGGCCTATCAGCTCAGCATGTTAGAGCATTGGGCTAATAACGCGAAGATCGCAGGTTTGAGATCGGAATGGGCCATTAGTTTTATTTTCATTGGAAACGCTGCCGTTTTATTCATTTAGTGATGCTTTTTATCCTCTAATGTAAAACGCTGTCGTTTACTCATTTGGTTGTCTTTTTGCCTAGGCCTAATATATATATATATATGTTTGGGCCTCTTATCAGTAGGGTAATTGGGCTTCATCTTTCTTGCATAATGCGTTTCCCTCTACCATTTTATAGAAGTGATTATATTTTAAAATTTTATTCAAAAATAACATCTATTTTATTTTCTTGAAATAAATAAATAGAAATTTATGAAATAAGTGTCATTTTTATATAAAATAAATTATTCTTTAATTTTATATCAGGTTATCACACATATACATAATATATATATTGATTGTGATGGATTTTAAAATACTTTATTTTTCCGATAAAAATATAAAGATAAGACATGAGAGTTAACATGTAAAAGGAGTTATGACATAAATGGTTATTCTTCTACTTTCATTTATATGATTATTTTAGTCTATGCGTAATGCATTTTCTCTGGGTGTTTAATCTTATTTTTTTTAAAAGTAACACTTCCACTAATTAAACTCGTAAATTTGATTTCATAGTGGTAATCATCATTTTGCAATTAAAGCCAAGGAAGTGGAGAAAAGCTGTTGAAACTGAATGAAACCTCAATTCAGTTATCCTTAACATTTCTTTTTGGCTCGGGTCACGCAAATTCATCAACAACGTAAACACCCGATCATTATTATCATTAATATAAGGCTTAATAGAAAAATAAGTGTACCACCTTTACATAGAAAAACGATTTAATGTGTAAATAAATTTTCGTTAAAAAATTAATACTTAACATTTTTTCAGTTGCACTTTTAGATACTTAACGTTATATTTTTAAATTTTTTTAATAAAAAAGAAAAAAATTAAAAAAAAAAACTTAATTTATTTACAAAAGAACCCAAAATTTTGATGAAATTATAAAAAAACTCTAAAAAAACTAAAATCTCTCATTTCAACCCGGTTACCAACCATCGCCGGTCATCTCCTGCCACCATCATCATCGTCGAACGGTCACCCACTCGTTGCCAGCCACTCATCATTCAATTTTCATCTAACCGTCACCCAAACCCACCAAATCTCTAAAATCTCCAATATCCAAATCCCTAAAATTTTAAAATCTTAATCTCCACGATGGAAAGCCGGAGGAGCATCAACGGAGCGATGGAGAGGACGGATTTTGAGCGAAATTGTATGGTGGTTCAAATGGTGGTGCTGATGTGGCTTATGAACGTCGGGATCGATTGGAATGAATAAAAAACGACAATGGCTTAAAATCTGATGAACCTTTGAATGATTCTCCACGGAAAACAGTTGCAACTTATGATGAAAGGTCAACAAGAGTTTGATCAAGGATTGACGTTGGTGCTAATGACAGTGACGGTGACGGTCACAGCTAGCCAACTGGAGACCATAGAAGGGGGAAAGGGAAAGTGAGAACAGGGGAGTTGGTTTTTTAATAAAAAGTATATTTGTTTTTTAATTTTTAAAATAAATTCTCAAAATTATCGAGGTTTGACACGTGTCACTTAACGGCTAAATTTAATAGTAGACACCTAAAAATATAATGGAGAAACGGTTAAACACCTATTTTAGTGAAAATTTCTTTAGACACAAATGTTTTTCGAGACAAAATTAATTTTTATATTAAACTTTAATTATATATATATATATATATATATATATATATATATATATATATTTGTTCATCTAAACTGGGAAGTACAATCCCCAAACGTTCCAAAACTAAGCTTAGAAAATGTACCCTCCTCCCCTCCGTAAGAATAATCAGCTGCTGCCGGTTGAGTTTGCATTGCGACATAAGGATGTTGCAACTACCAGCTTGGTGATGGTAAGTATGATTCACCTGCAGCGGGTTCCACCATAACCCTTCATTCATCAAGTACTCATCTAACAAAGAAGCAGACTCTTCGGACATAATAGACAAGAATGGATCCTCAAGCTCAGTCGGTGGAACGCCGTCTCCAGCTGTGGCAGTCTCTTCTTTATTCCGTGGCTGCTGCTGTTGTTGGAGCTTTAGCATTTGTGTTTTTCTTTTTTGTTGCTTCTGAGAGGACCTTTCCTTCTTCTTGAAATGGGTTATCCAATAGTTCTTTATCTCATTGTTGGTTCTCCCTGGCAAGTATCTGGCAATCGTGGACCACCTGTTCCATTTCACATACAATTACAAAACACCAAATAAAAATAAGATAATCAAAAGAAGAAGCAGCATCACTTGTTACCCCAAATGGCATGCAATTCAGCGATGATCCCTTCCTCCTGAGGTGTAATATGACCTCTCTTAAGACCAGGCCTTGAATAATTCACCCACCTCAGCCTGCAACTCTTCCCACTATATATATTATTCAAATTAAATTCGCTATATATATATATATATATTATATATATATATATATATATAGATATCGTCTAATTACACAGTGTAAAACATTTTAGTTTTACATATCGAATGAGTAAAAATAGACATATGAGATTAACAGTAGTAAATGAATATATATATATATATATATATATATATATATATATATATACCTGTGGATTTAGAGACTGAGCTCCATCTTCCTTCACCATGAAAGTTGACATATTCAGTCAAGAGCTTATCTTCCTCTGGACTCCATGGACCTTTCTTCCATGCTTGTTTTGGAGCTCCCCAGCCCATTATTTCAAACTATTTTCACACTACTTTCACTTCATAGCCTTACCCTCTTATAGATTCCCTGAATCATTTCGATTCCATTTTTTTTAGTTTCATTGATGAACTCATTATACAACTAAGAAGACATCTTTGAACCAAACTTTTGGTTGAGTTCTTCTTTTCCTTCGTTAATTATTCTCTTGGTTTAGAACTAGTGTTAGATGTCTAGGTGCTTACAAGCTCAATCTCTTGCAACTAATTACAAATCACCAAGTGTTGGGTTATTGCACCCTATGATGCCATTTGATTTTGCATAGTACATGATTTAAATAGGGGCTCAAACAAGATATAATTGTTGATCTTTTGTATTTTTTTCTATATTTTCTTTATTAATACCTTTCAAAATTTGAAATATAAATATCATAAGTCGCTTCACATATAACTATTATGTACCTACGATTTTCTTTAAAGTAATTGAAATGAATGTAATAACATAATAACTTGATTGTATCCTCAACCATAATAAATACACATAACTAAAAGTACATTTACGATAATAATTTGAATCTCCCATGTCACTAATGCTATACTTCTTAAGTGAGTCCTTAACAAAACTCTTAACTATGTTACTTTGCTGTCAATTGTCGATGAGAAAAATAGAGTAGTAATTTTTGACAAATCAATTTTTTTTATTTAGATAAAGAGTTGCATGCGATCTTTCAATGGAGAAAAAGAGAGATAATTAAAGTAAGAAGATGGTGAACAGTTGAGAAAAATACCCTTCTCTCCTACCTTGTACAATAATTTATATATGGATCCTTGGTATTGTTGACAGATCTAGGTTGATGATGGTTATGTGTAGCTTGACAAAATAAATAAATTATCTGGCTATCAGATAACAGATGTAGCTGACAAATCACATGAGTCCAAGGACGGAGCCACCATAGGTCTAGAGGGGCCACTGAACCCCCCCCCCCCAAAACTTTTATTATTAAAAATTATATGGGAAAATATGAAATTAGAACTCCAAATTTCAATTTATTTTGATATCTCCCTCATTTTCTATGTTTAATTATATTTTCTCCCTCATTTTCTATAATTAATTATACGTTGCCCCACTAAATTGGAATCTTGGTTCCACTCTGCATGAGTCTATCAAGGATCATGTTCTTCAATTATAACTAACATTAAGATATGAAGTTTTGAAGATTTTAACGAGTTCTAATATTGTAAGATTTAAAGATGAAAAAATTATAACAAAAAAAGTGTAGAAGAGTTATAACATCAATTATAGAAGACCAAGTATACTAAAAAAAAGGCAATGAATTTATTGGTTTGAAAGTATTTTTTAATCAATGTTGCTTTGAAAGTTAAAGGTGGTGCGTTTTCAGTGTTTTATATATTATATTATTAAGACAATTTTGATCTTTGAAACTTGGAAGAGTGGGAATTAATGTGTTAACATTGGGGAATAAGCATGATAATCTCTGGAATAAGGGGAAAAGTCTGGTGTGGATAATGTTGTTTTGTTTGCTTGAAAATGGCTCACGGTGCAATCTTGGTGGAACACTTGTCGGCATAAACATTTCTTAATTGTATGCTTTAGAATTTGTTTATGGGGTAGAGAAGGTTCTAGGATGCCATTTTGGGTAATGGGGTATTTGAATATATGATAAAGGTAGTATTTTTTATGACTCGTCATCAATGCTACATTTGGTCTCCTTACGACCATATAATATATATTTTAAAAATATTTGGAATATTAGGACCTTAGATTATTGGATTAACTCCATTTTTTATTGAAGAATGCCTATATAGGTATTGATGTGTAAGGTTGAAAGTTATTAAATAATACTACAAATAAATTGTATTTGATATATTTTTAGTACATAAATTTATAAACTATTGAAAAACAATCAATTGATCTAATGAGATGAAATATTAGATTCTTTAAATTAAGTTAGGAGTTTAAATTCTAACATTGTGAATGAAGTAAATCTAATTATGAAAATCGCTCTCTTGATGAATTTTTATAGTATATGATTATCTAATTTAAATTAGTCGCTTAATAGATAATATATGTATGCTTAAACCAGAAAATTAATATAATAAATGCAAAATTATATTTATTAAAATAATGTGTTTACGAAGAAGATCTTATTTTGAAAGTTGTAAGATATTAGAGGGGAAATGGTTGATCTAAATAATGTGGTCTTCTCTTTTTGAAGTTCCAATTCAAGTTAGAGATAGGTTAGGCATAGGGATTATTGTTTGTAGATTCATTCCCCTTTGGTTTCTTTAAGTAGATCAAATCTATGGTTAGATTAGGATATTTCATCGAAGTCTTCTATATGAAGCTTCCATTTGTATGCAGGAGATTAATGAAGGGTTTCCTATATATAGTAATTACTAAACATGTTAAACTTCCCATTGAGTCTTTATCCTCTATTTATAAATACTATAAGATGCATATGTATATTGTGAAAAGTTTGACTTTCATTATGAAATTAATATTAAGGAAAATGATGGACCGATGAATTAGATGATAATTGGCAAAAGGGTGCCTCAGGCCCATGTGATTGTTCAAAAAAATCAACGTGGCCCTTGATATTTTTTAGTACTTAATATGACACTCGAACTTATAAAAAAAATCTAATGTAGTCTTTTGACCAATGATTTTCGTCGTTGACCGTTACAATAATGACGTGATACTTCACGGTGCTGATGTGGTGATCCACAGTGCTGATGTGGTAGTACACAGTGGTTGGTGACGTGAAAGATGGGCTAAATTGATATTTTTTTTCAAGTTCGAGGGTTAAATTGATTTTTTAAAAGTTTAAGGGCTTATTTGATTTTAAAAAAAGTATTTTAAATTCAAAATATAAAAATATTCAAAAGCTTCAATATAATAATACAAAATAAAAAAAATAAAAAAATATACATACTTTTTAGTTTTAAAAATAAAAAAAATAAAACTCATATAGAATTTGCCTCTAAATTCTAATGTGAATTTTATTTTATTTTTATTTTGTTAAGACATAATTGTTATTTCTTGATTTTTTTAGAAAAAAGTAAATATTGGACAAATAAAAAAAAACTTTGAACATGAAGTTCTTATTTACCTTGACTTTATAGAGTTGTATCTAATAGAAATTTACGGGATAAGTCGATATTCCCATTTTTCATAAGATCAAGTTTAGGTGAAGTTTACTTCCCTATATCATGTTATATGCACTAAAAATGTGTAACACCCCAAATTTCAGGTTAGTAGTTTCGGGTTTATCCGAGAGAAAATTAGACCTCGTAGAATTTGTAATTCAAGTCGTTGGGCTTAATTGGGTTGAAATTGGGCCCAATTAGTTTTAAGAGGATATTTTTGAATTGTAGAAAGTTGAGAAAGGGCCAAAAGCACAATTACCCTATTTTAGAGAATAAGAGCTTTTATATATCTTATTTCACCTTCTCCTTTCATTTTCCTTCCCTTCTTCTTTCATTTTCCTTCCCTTTTTCTTTCTTCATTTCCTTTTCCTTAGCACCATAGCTCAAAGGTGAGTTATTGAGCCCTTTTCCTACTTCATTTGTGTTTCAAATCCCTCCAGCAATATGGATTTGACCATTCCAGCCATGAGTTCTTTGTTTGCAAGAGAAAGTTGTGTGGTTTCATCCAAATCATAAAGAGAAAAGGGTTTGGCTAAGCAAGGAGCTCTATTTCAGGATCCTAGAATCGAGGTAATGTATTTCTAATCATTTGGAGTATTAAAGTTTCATAAATCTATGGTTTTTGCTAAGATTTGGTGATTTGAGCATTTTAGGGTGCATCTTTGATTTCTCAACCAAATCATATTTTAGGTGTTAATAATATGTTTAAATGATGCCTTGAGACCCTAAATAACTTGCTAAAGCTTTTTAATAAGTTTAGAAACCAACCCATGTCTTTGGGATGATTTTTGAGTGATTCTCAAGCTTAAGCAAGGCATTCCCAGAAAAAGGATCCCTTTTCAAAATGATCGATCCATCGGGAGAAAGGATCGATCCTTTTTTCCAAAGGATCGATTCCTTGGAGAAAAGGATCGATCCCTTCTATGTTTTGCTCGATGAACAAGGATGGTTTTGCATTCTTTAAAGGTCCTAAGTGTTGTTGAATGTTCTTTTGACCCGTTTAAGGTCCGTAAGATCTAAGGATGATCCGTAATAGTAAGACTTAGTCCGTGAGGGACATAAATGACCAAAATACCTAACAACACTTGTAGGAGTATGTTACATCGGGTGTAATCATATTAAGCGTAATACACTAAAGTATCTTAAATCAAGAATGTATATTGATAGTTGGGATTAAGGATCAATACATGAGATACTCAATAAGCGGTACAATAAACATGTCAGATTCAGTATCGATGAAGAGCGTAATGCTTCGAGAATGTCAGTGAACTAAAAATGGATAAGTAGTTCCACTACTTCAAAGGGTATTGGGAGAAGTACGATAAGAGCGTCAGGAGTGTTGTTACCTAGCAACGAGCCCGAGTCAGGTATCGGGCTAACTAGTGAATCAATCAGTGTACTGCAAGCACCATAATCATCGAGAAATTGTGAAACGCTTAGATACCTCTCCGGAGGTAGAAATGAGTAAAATACCCTATAAGTATTAATACCCCTCCCATAGTCCTAGGTGAGAGGACGAGCGGGATAGTCATAGGTGAAAGGGATATGACCTCACCTAACTTCAATAAGTTCAGTAGCTACTTCTTCTGCTGTAGTGTGGCATCAGTTGACGTGTGTTAAGGCGTAGCTCTAGATGAGAGCCTTATTTAATAACAATATCTATGGTGCTCGAACCCGAGTCCTTAAGAAATAACAACAATTTATCTATTACGGAGATTACTTAGTTTGTGCTTTTTAGAATAGATAAATGAGTAAAAAATAATAAAAAAATTAACAAATCTTAACTTTATTTAATAATTTATTAAATAACTTTACATTCGAGAAATATTACTAACGCATTCAGAATTGAACTATCTATCCTCCAA